ATTACCCAAAGAAATTTTGAGGTTAAATTTAAATTTTAAATTTTGCATAATTCTCACAAAAATATGGAAGAAATTTCGATACATTGAAAAATCTCATTTTGATGCTATTTAAAGAGAGAAGCGTGATTCGTTAATGTATTAAATAACTTGTCATAACACTGACAAAAATATGTTACTTTATGACTTTATCATGTCATAAAGTAACATATTTTCGTCAGTGTTATTTTATTTAAACGAATTTATTTAAAAATATTTCTTCTATGTAAATAATATTATAGATTTGTTTCAATTTATTGAGCAAGATAAAAATAAAAAAAGCATTAAAAGAATTATGTTTACTGAACCCGGTACTATAAGCTGCTGCGCGGATTAAAAGGAAATGACAAAATGTCAATGAATTTATAAAAAAATGCGTTGGAGTAAAATTTATCGTTCTACAGAAGATTAAATTTTTAAATATAAATAATTAAAAATTAGATTAATAAACCAAAAAAACCCACTTCTTAGGGATGTGCAAGTGAAATGAGTAATAAATTACGTTCAATTTTTTTATTATTATTCATTTTCCTGTTGAAATAAATTAGCCGAAAATTTGTTTGTAATTTTTTATACACATTTTTGCATATTAAACCTCAAAGAGTGTTTAATTCGCCATTCATTATTTATTTTAAACACAATTACCGATTTAGTGTAAGCTGGAAGTCCTTTATTGGCTTTATTAAACAGTGTATTTCACCCCCTCATTTAATTGATCCATTAGTTTAGAGCAAAAACACATTTTATGGATTATATGTCATTACTATATAAATGGCTTCTCTCGTAGAGCTTCAGTATTATGCATGTTAAGTTTTTTGGATCATTTTAAACTCGGTTTCGTAACCTCTGATACAATTATAAATCATTTTTAGAGGCTATCAATTAAAATTATTTTATGTCCTGCCTCTATTACGTTAAATTTGCCTGCTGATTCAAAATGATAAATAAATGTAGAAAAGAGTATTGTCTTCAGAACTTTTGATTTCTTAAATTATTCGATAATATGCACCTCTTCCACGAAAGTACTTATCCGGCCTTTATTTTCGAAACTGCTGGGTTAGATTACATACTCTTGGGTTAGAATTCACAAAACAATGTTCCAAATTTGGCAAATATTGCCATTTTTAATTTAAAAATACAATTTTATGACAGATTTCCGAATATGACACAAATTGCTTCATGAATTGAATATTCATGTTTAGCTGCATGTAAAATTCTTAATTGTTGTACTCTTCGAATACAGATTTAATAGTTAGCTTATATGGTATTTCTCCCGCCTTGGCATGCCTTCGTGGTGTGGTGGTCTGCACGTTGGGCGCGTATTCCAGAGGTCCGCGGTTCGATTCCCGGAGAAGGCGCTGCTTAATTTTCATCTCTGCTTCCTTCCAAAAAATTAACCTAATGTCTCTACAGTGGCGCCTGAACTAAAAGGGTGTTGGATGATAATTCTCCACACCCAGGATTTGGCGTTTGTGTTCCCCTAAAACCCCCAGTCGCTCTTTAAAAGGGGGGAGTATATAAGGTATTTCTCCCGCCTTCTTGGTGTGACGGTCTGAACGCTGGGCGGATATTTCAGAGGTCCGCGGTTCGATTCGCGGGGAAGGCGTTGCCTATTCTTCATCTCTGCCTGCTTCCAAACCTAATGTCTCTACAGGTTCAATAGACAAATGTAAATTACCGCCTGGAGGATATGCTCTGACGTATAGGAGAAAGAAAGAGCCTTATAATAAAATATTTCAATGTTTAATAGAAATGATTGTTTGGAATTCGAGATCATTATAATGCTTATTTCCCAGCTCAGTCATTAAACAATGTAGCTACTAGTTTATGTAAGCACTTCGGCGTTTCGAACAAGACATTGGCATAGTATATCTGAATCTGGAAAATGAAGAAATTTGACTAAATATGAGAATTTAAGCAACATTAGAGCATCTTTCTCAGCAATTGGGGAAACGATCGCCAAATAATAAAATCGCTGAACACTGGTATTCGACCTGACGAAAGAGTGTCTGGAAATACGTTTTCGAGGTTTTTTCTGTATGCAACAGGAAGAGGAGCCAGTTTTCCTTAAAACGTTCCTTCACAAAGGCATCCCGCCTCTTAGACAGATAAGTCTTATGTACTTCGTAATCCTCTCGCCAATAAAACTTCAACAGTTCGTTGATGAAAGTTGTATAATAAATATAAATTAAGAGAATTCATTGATATTTTGTTCCGTCAATTCCTAGATAACAAAAAATGTTTCCGTGGAAATATGTAATTGCAGTAATAGAAGTGGAGAAGGAACAATAATGTAGAAAGCTGAATCAGAAACTCAGAACGTGTATGCACAAACTTCATATAAAGTTCACGCAGCTCATTATAGCCCTCAATGAGATTCAAAACACAACGAGTACTAAATCGATAGTGCAGATCTGAAGTCTTCTGGATCTGAAGTCTTCAGTAAGTATATATTCCGGTAGACGGATAAGAAGGTCTTATCCGTCTACCGGTCTTATCCGTCTTGCTACGTTAAGGCATCTTAATGTAGCAACGGACGTAGTTTATGTTTTGAATACAAGAGACGAATCGCTAGAGGATTTGTTGAAATGGCTTAAATTTTTGGATAAGGATGAAGAGGGAAAATTGATGATAATTTTAAACACATAAACATTTTTTGCCTGCCCCGAGCATGGATGAAGAATGAAGAGAAATTACAAATGCTTGCGGGGTAGATTTAAGGCACTTATTATTCGTTACACAGATACAAATTAACATGGCAATATGATTAAAATCTCTGTCTGCATATTCCAGTTAACCCTAAACTTTTCTGCATTGAATATCAACGTCATCATCCAAAGTTTAATGAAAATTAATCAGGAATTATTATAAATTATACCAACTACAATAACCCGTCCATCAGCGCTCTCAGAGACAGGGGTTTTGCTCAGGAAACTTTTTCCATTGTCTGCGCCATCCGAATGAAATAGCCTGATGTTTATAGAACTAAATACGAGGAATAAAAATGCTCAGTGTGGAAAACTATGTGAATTCTTAGGTTATGAGAAACGTCTCAATCCTGTATTTATACGTAACTTGATGGTCATAAATATGCTAACAATGCATCTCGATTAACAATAGTGAAATAATATTTGATTTATCTTGATTTCCCGCGACAATATTTCTTCTTAAACTTTCTTTATCTTTCGTGTTTATCCTGTTGTCATTAATAACATGTTACCGCAGCTTTAATACTCAATGTCGTTCTCATTAATAACGCATGTTGCTTTTTTAAGTTTCTGTTTATATTAATAAGGACCTCAAAGCGTAAGACTAATAATTAATAATATTAATATGAGTTCTGGGAAACTTCTAGTGTGCTGCAATCATAAGAAAATGAATAATTCTAATTTCTGCTATTCTTTCAAACCGCAGTATTCTGCTATACCGTCTACAAAAATAAGAGAGAATATTTAGTATACAATGTATTTTATATTCTTTACTTTGTAGTACTGTTGTGTTTATAATACTATTGCGAAATGCCCAGCTGCGGAAACATACCTTCCCCGCAAAGCGATGTTGGGTTTGCCAGGGTAAGGCAAGGTTGCCGGATTTAGCGCAAAACCGCTCATTTGCCAACAAAATTGGCGATATACCATACAGAGTGAGAATATTCTAGAACTCATTCTTAGCAGTTTTTTCACTGGAATGTTCTCGAAGGCAGCTTAAAGCTATATATAACCTGTTTGTGCGCAGAGTAGTAGTAGTGAGTAGTGTCTTAAATTCAGAATTGTTGTAATGACTTGAGTTAATTTATCTTGAATTATTTATTATTTAGAGATTAGCTTGAGAGCGATCGGCCGAGTCGGGAGTTGTACTTTGTCATCCATGTAGTTGAGTGACAAGTTGGAGCAGGGTTACCAGATTTGGCGCGAATTCGCCCATTTGGCAACATGAATGGCGATATGCCGTAGATGGAGCAAGACCATTCCAGGACGAAATCTTACCGGTTTCCCCAGAATTTTCTCGAAAGCAATCAAACGCTATATATAGTAAATACCCTACCTATACACGGAGTAGCAGTTTATCGTAAAGAGTACCTTGGATATGCTGAGTTCAGTAATAGTGCTTTGAGTTCAGATATTAGTTTCAGAGCGATCGACCGAGTCGGGAACTGTACTTTAGTGCTTTGCCGTGAAGCTGACTTCCCTTTGTAGCCTGATAGCCTGAAGGCTGTGATGGTGATTGTTTCAGAGCGTTTATCGTAGTTTTTCGGCGATTTTGACGTGTTTTTGGAGTTATCCTGTGTAATACTGGCGAATAAATTTCGTTTCAAATCTTCATCAGGTGTTATCATCACTCACTTCCAAATCCGTGAACCGGTAGAACGCAACAATATTTTAATTTCATTAGTACATTATTTAAAGTTGGTAATGTTTTATTTGCAAAATTCATCAATTAAAGATAAGTTTATAGTTCATAAATTAACATTATTAATTGCAATTTGATGATAATTAACAATGCGAATTTATCATTTGTTAACGACATCGACATTAAGGACATCCTTATTATTTTTTATTTATGACTTTATTATGTATGCTGTTCGAATATATTTGCTTTTTTGCTTTTTATTGCGTTTGTTATTAACCGCAGTTTCATGTATTAACGGTATGTCCTGGAAAGTATTCTCGAATGATATCGGCTGCTACCGTTTGCCTTTTTTAGGAACTCCAAATTTGGAGCTAGTTTTAAGAATGGATTATTTCGTAAAGGCAAAATTTCGGAATTGTCCATTTGTAGAATATCGTTGATATTCGGCATTCCAGTACCCTTGAGATGAAATACAATTTCATTATGACCTAGAACATATGTAGTATGGATATTTATTGATCACTAACCTATATATAAAAGAATTTGCTTTACGAAACACAAATTTTCTGGCGTAAGATGCCTAAAAAATTTAAATTGATGTAAATAACACTTACCACCATCCGATTCACAAAGCAGCTTCAGCGGTTCTCCCTCATTATATGGTCCTATGATACCTTTAACTTTTCTCCTTTCTTCGTCGTAGATCACAGGCTCGGTTGGTGGAACTAAAATTAGAAACAGAAATTATAATGTCATGAATTCATAAATAAAAATACAATTATGACGAATATTTGAAGCAGGCAAAGATCATAAAACAATCTTGTACTTGCTTTATTTTTTATTTATTTGGAAAAATAAGATCAGAGGATCTGAAAATGCAAGGCAATTTTTGTTCAAATCAAATAATTTTTGGGCAATTTTTGTTCAAATCAAATAATTTTTGGGCAATTTTTGTTCAAATCAAATAATTTTTAGGCAATTTTTCTTCAAATCAAATAATTTTTAGGCAATTTTTGTTCAAATCAAATAACGGCACAACGTGTATGACGTTACCTTCTCAAATATTTAATATAAATTAACACGGTATGTTTTATCAATATAAATGGAATACAGTTAACAGTTTAAAGGCTGGCTATAATTAACATTTATTATACCATTTTATTCGAAATACCTAGTAGATGAGAAATTACATTCACAAATAAAAATAAAATTAAAAAAATTGAAAATAATCTTAAAGCTCTCAGATTTTATATTACACCCAAACGGGCATTTTCTTAATTGACATATATAGAAACGTTAAAAGAGCATTTGCGCTAACGCCATATTGTATTAAAATATTTAAAAACAGCATAACTTTAGGATTTCCGATAGACAGTCTCGCGCGCTGGAGATAAAAATGTTTTATTCTTTACAGTGTTGCCACTGCTCGCTTTGAAATTAATGAGTTTTACAAACTATGAAATAGACAAAAAAACAAATTCTGAATTCGGGCTTCCAGGTGCCCATGTTCGGGTGGAGGCCTGCGTTATTCAAAATTTGATGACTCTAGGTGCAGTGTTTTTTCTTAATGCATGAAACATACATACATTCACGCATATTCGTTACAGTTTAGTTTCATTAAATATACTACAGGGCGATAATAGTTGGTGATAACAATTTGAGAAGTGATTCGACCTATTTAATCCTAAAACCTATTTAAGCTAGAAATAATGTAATTTTGTTATGAAACAGAAGCGGGCAATAGACTAAAATATTCACGATAAATGCTATAATAATTTTAAAGCAATCGTTGCAACAATGTATTTCGTAATGCACTCAGAAATTACCTTAAATATTATTCTAAGCATCTATTTCCAAATAAAATTTTCTTAAAGTACTATAGAGAATTTATGGAAAAAAATTTTAATTAATTTAAATTAAAAATACGGCTTCTAATACAATCCCTTTCAATCAAAACATCTTTTAGAAAAATGATCAGTATGCTTTCTTATAATAAATACAAAAGGATAATAAAAATAAAAGGATAATAAAAAGAATAATAAAGAATAATAATAACTATCTTCTCTGAGATGTAATGAGAAGATAATAATGGCGATAGTTGGTTCCTTATTAGGAAATTAGGATTTGTTATTAACTTTGCATCTGACTCTAATCAATTATTAAATAAAACTTTCTTACGATTATTGAGGCTTATAGAGATTGCTCATTCTGTTTAATGATAAGTGATAAGTGACGGTGGACGTGGGCACTGTCCCTTTTCTGTAAAGTTTAATCAGTACAGCACCACGTCAACCCTTATCTAAAGTTGGCTAGAGATTGCATATAGGTACATATAGAACATAATAATTATTCCTGTAATTACGCAAATGAACTTGGGAGAGCTTTCATGCAGGGATTCTGTTTACCATATAAACAATCAAACTATACCGAATAATAATAATAAAAACATAGCGCATATCAAACTTTCAAAAATTATGGAAATTTCAAAATGAATGTTAATGGTAAATGTTTTCACTTGATGGCAGCTGTATACTATTCTAAGTAATAAATTAAAATTTTAACTGCATTTTATTCTATTAGCTTTAGAAACCATTTATTTAGTTCAAAATGAAAATGAGTTTTCCCTTGCAAACCAAATTCTTATGATTGAGCATTATTTCGCAAGTCATTCTTACAAAAAATTTACTTATGAATTTAAAAGTAGCTTCCAAATATTCATGAATCCAAGAAGACAGTGATTTTCTACTTGGTAACCGGTTAACGAGACACTGGAGGCGTTCACCAGAAAATCGCTATCGTCTGCTAGTACCCAATTTTGCGATTAAAGAAATATTTTCGAAAATCTTTGCTTCCAGGATATCCGATTATTTGACCTACACGAGACAGAGGAATATCTCTTAAAAGTACATCCCTTGCTCCATCTTCTAACCGAGACAAAGCTGCAGGCGAAATATTTTCCCCAGCCTCGTAAAATCGTAGGGATAAGTGTGCGTAACAGCTCGCTGAACTCAAATATTCCAGCAATTCCAAACCTTCAGTTAAAATTATTGCTCAAATAAACAATTTCCACGTGAAAGATCTTAATAACGTCGCTTGCTAGTATGCGTGAAAATACTTCTAGAAACGAAATAGCTGCTCTTCTCTTTTAAGTTCGGACAAAGTGAATAAAATCAGGAGTACAGTTTCCAATGTCACCAATAAAAAGTATGAGAAAACATGCACAAAAATGCGATTTGTCATATTTGAGTTAACAAACCGTTTCTTACGGCAAAAGGCTATGAGACTGTCAACAACTATGTTACCATTTACAAGCGGAAAATCGCTGTATTGAACTTCAACTGAAATTTCAAGTGATATATTAATTTATAACAGTGTAAGCAGTATATTATCTACTGAAATAATTCGTCACTATACACATTGCAATTCTAATAATTTTTTAAAGTGAAGTTTGTACTAAGTTTTAAGTGTCAATATTTTTTTCAAAAACTCTGAAAAAATTCTTTTTTAAATGCGCTTGGTGATTTCTTGGTTCTTTTTGACAAAAAATGAAAGTGTCATTGATTTTCGAATGTGTTAAATGCATTTTAATACTACAAAAAGGCATCTGATGTCAACACCACATGACTTCCTTCTATGGCCTATTAAATTATACACGTTTTTTGCTGCATTTCATTTAACCTTATTTCCTCAGATTTCATTAGAGATATATTTTTCATTCAATAAATTTCAGTTTTCATTTCGCGACAACACAAAAATTCATAAAAACTCAAAACACCTTCATTAAAATTACAAAATATAAAACATGAAACACAGTTAAAAACAGTTTTTTTTTCAATTAAAATTAGAGTTCCTACGCAAAAGCAGGCAATGCGTTCAAAGAGGCAGAAGGCAGGTTTATCGGTGCACAAAACTGATAGTTTACTTTTGGCCCCACTTGGGGAAAGACACTGAAGTTTCGTGGAGAAACTGTTTTAATTCGCTATTTTACTAACAGCTTCAAATGTAAACACATTACAGCCTCTTTACGCTTAGTACCACTTAAGCAACTTTTAAATTGTCTAAGGTAGGCAGTCTAATTAGGCCTAGAGGAGTACACAAGTAAAAGTTTGTGAAGATAGCGCTTATCGTTTTAATTGTGTAGGTGTGCCCAAATTGGCACATTGATTGAATAAAGCTTCGAAAAGAGTGCTGAAACGGGCATTGTTGTCAATGAACTTACCGATGAGATGCGGAGAAACAAAGAATACAGACACTCAGTTGTCCTAGATTATCGGTGAGTCCGGTCTGGGCACACTTAGGGTTCGCCGTTTGATTTTAGGCAAGATTTCAACGTAAAAAATTAAAACTAACATATAATAAGGTGATTAACATACAGCCAAAAAATAACATAGAAATTTCTATTCAAACAATTCCTTTTATACCCTAAACAAAATTTGGAAGATTTCTTTGAAAAATGAGGGTCTTAAAAAACTAAACATGGCTAAAATATATGGACTGGTCTGTGTTAAGCAGCCATCTACTATAAATAAAGAAGGTTCAGAGTAAGCTATAGTAACCTATAAATCCCTTTTCATTCAAATTTTATGTGCGTACAGAAGGAAATTTTTAGGTGTGCCCAGACCGGACACACTGTGCCGCAAAGGGTTAACGATGCTTTCCTTACTTTGTACAATATGGTAAAAATAAAATTAAATATAGGGTAGTAAAATTTGGCTAGGGTTAAATTCGTGAATTTTTGTTTCCTAATAAAAACACATTTTCAACAAAGATGCCTTCAGTAAAATGTTTTAATCCTCCATTGTTTTAGTAAGAAATTTATATAAAAAACTTTTGTTGTCCAGCCGCAGTAATACATTGACGAGATGAGGAACAAAACCGCAGCTGAAAATATAAGCTGTTACTTCTACTTGGTGTTTCAGCAGCAGTTAGAAATATATTTATAAGTGTGTGGTAAAGTGAGAATGACACTTCTGAGATTTCTCTTACAGAGAGCTGCTTGTCAGTACAAGTGTCTGTTTCACAGCTCAGATTTGCACAATTTCTAAGATATTTTAAGCTGTAGTATGCATACTAAGAATGGGTTAGCTTCATAAATAATTTATAAAAAGCCTTGAGTTTAGCGTTAAAGTATGGGAAAATTGTTTCTCATGCCTTAATGCCAGGCAATGTTAAGAACTGCAACTTTACATTCATTTGCGATTTAAATTTTACTTAGAATTCCGATTCAAATTTCCACTTAACAATGAAAAGTTACTTTGTAATATTAATTGTATTGAAATTACATAAAAGGAAATCTGTGTTTTACAAATTACTTATTTATAATATGTAATTTTGCAGCTCCACAGAATTTTGTCCGAAATGAACTGTTGATAAAATGATTATTCTGTCATTTGTAATGAAATTGTAGATTGAAGGATTAAATGATTGAGTGATTAATGAAGATTTTTAACTTTTGATACCAAAAGTCGTCTGTAGTATAACAGTTGCTTTAAAGGCTTTAATCCAAATCTCGAAGATCGTAAAACTCATCTTTTAGTCTTTCCTCTGTCAGAACTTTTAAATTAACTTGTCAGAGTTGGGGAATTTTTGAATATCGCTTTTGAAGAAAAGAGCTAAAGGGGATGAATTACAAAAGTCCGTTAAGCTGGCGGATATGTTTTCAGGGGAAGTAGCAAACGTAGCAAATAGTTCTGCATTCTTGCTTATCTCTTGTCTTTTGTCTGAA